GATAGCTGATGCAGTCTATACATGATGAAGAATTGATGTCAGTTGCTCTTTGGATAATTCTTCAGAACTTATGGTCTATAAAACACTATGTAATTATGTTCTAATTTGCTTTTTTAAATTATTATTATCTGATTTATTAGATATATGAGAAATTAGCTCCTGTTTTTCTCCTGATACATCTACAGGCTGTGACAAACAACTTGGTTTTTCAGTACCTTGTAATGCCACAAAATGAATATGTTTACAAATTCTACTTCTTATTAAAAAATCAGTACAGCTACATGTATATGAATGTATACATATATTACAATAGGTACATTTAATAGAACAGCAATGCACAATATTTTTTCTTTCTACAATGTATTCACCATTACTTTGGCATTTTAATATTAAAACATTATTATTTTGAGACACTGTGAAATCACTAACTAATGCAGATTGGTGTATAAAAACTTGCGTTCAGAGTGGATATTAGTGAGCGTTATTGGAACATTCCTCATGTCCTAATGAGATATACTCGTCAACAAATGATTTATATTCTGAGAACAATCTTTTTTCTAATGTGACAAAGCGTTTTTTCGCTAGAAAAAATGACTCCTAATTTTAAATATTCTTTTGGTTTCTTAAAAGGTATATTAATTTGGTAACGACCATTTTGTAAAATTTTAGTGGTTTTAGCAAACGATTCTTCAGCCAACTCATTTTCAGCTGACTTAGTGGGGGTGTCATTTACCTCCTCTTGGGACCAGAACTTGGTTAAAAGTGACTCTAAGGGATCGTTTAGGGGATAATTGTCGATTGACAAAAAAGAATGTGTGGTTTGTGACTGAGATTGTTTTAAATAACTTTCAGGTAAAACACCTGAGAGGATCCATCCCAAACAAGTATTAACTAGGATTGGCAGCCCTTTACCTAACCTATAATGTCCGGGAATTATTAATTCGTAAAACAAGTCCGCTCCGATTAAAATATTTATGTCATTTGGAGTTCCAAAATCTGGATCCGCTAAAGACGCTAAACATTCTTCTGGTATTTGTAGCGAATTTACGTCAATTTGCGCTTGGGGCAATTGATTCGTGATTTTATTTACGATAGCGCGAAAATTTTCGAGAGCTATTGTGCCTTGATAAAAAAGTTAGATCCATAGTGCGATTGGATAAACCGGAGTGACCTCAAAAAATTCCTGAAATATTTCATTGTTTAGTATATGGCCTCAAATTTAATTTCCTGGCGAAATCGCTGCTAATGAACGAATTTTGAGACCCGCTATCAAGCAAAATACGGAATGGAATCATTTCTCCATACCCTGAGTAAACATTTAAGACGCAAAAAGCAAGTAGAACAAACGAATTTTTATTTTTGAAAGTTGAGACATGCACTGTTCTATCGTTCACTCTATTTTGCGTAGTTTGAGAGGAATTATGTGGAGCAGAATTCGAAGAGAAATTTGATAAATTGTGTTGAGCAGAATTATTACTTTGCTGTGCGTGTGAATTTATTTGTCGATTACCAAAATTTGGGTTACCATTATTAGTGGGGTGACGGTTAATTGTCCTTGTATTTGTCCTGGGGGGGGGGTTTGTGAGATGGAGCAATGAATGATGCTTCAAATTGCAAATTGAGCATGAAAACTTCGATAAGCAGTTGTTGGTAGTGTGTTTTGTACCTAAACAATTAAAACAGTAATTTTTGCTTTTTATAAATGCGTGACGATCATTTGGCGACATTGCATTAAATTGAGGGCATAAATAAATTTTGTGCGCATTATTGCAGTATACGCAACTTACAGGGACCTGGGCTACAGCTGATGGCTGTGTGTTCATAAGTGAGTGCAAATTAATGGCGGGTTTATTTTTTGCATATTTTTTATCCACCTGTGTATCGAAACCGGTCAAATTTTCGAGAATAACACATTTACGTTCCAAAAATGCAAACAATTCATCTAGTGTTGCTAATTTCGTGACGTCGCGATCTTCTTCAAACGAACGTTTTGAGCCATAATCAAGTTTTTGAGTAAGTAAATGTAATAAGAGACTATTAAATAGATTTTTGTGTGTTAAATTTAAATTTTTTAAAGACTCTAAAGCTTTTTTTGTGCTGATAACGAATGACCTCAAGCTCTCTGAATTGCATTTGAGTATTGGACTAACCTCCAAAAGTTCGTGGAAAAGGTATCCAACTGTGCGATTTGGGTTTTCAAAACATTCCCTTAATAATGTGATTGCAACGGCAAAATTATTGTCTGATATAGCTAATGAGTTAATCATGTCTAGAGCTTTGCCTATTAAGAAAGATTTTAAATAATAAAAACATTCTGAGTTCGTTAATTTATAATTTTGAATACTAAGAGCATTGAATATAACGAAAAACCCTTTCCACAAACGAGGATTCTGTCCATCGAAAGGTTAAATATTGATATCGGGCAATTTCACATTAACTAATTGAGGGTTAGATCCTGCCATGGCTTGATTCGTAGCACTTGGCGCAGTTAAATGAGCGTGAGCATTTTTTAATAGAGATAAAGTGCCATAATATTTACTTTCGAGAGCGACTCTTTGCTCAGCGTCGTCATCTTTATTAGAAGCAGAAGCTGTCAACCCGTGTGCCAAATCTTCGATCAAGTCTTGAGTAGCATTGTATTGTTCAAAATAACAATTTAAATTCGTAATTCTAAAACTAAGTTGTGCAGGATCTTTTTCGGTATTGTGGTGAGACACAGCCCAATTATGAAGACGCGTAATATTTCCTTTCAGAGATTGTCTAGTTTTTTTGAGCGCAGTTAAATCTTCCATATTGATAAAAAATACTAACAATTATATTAAATAAAAAAAAATAACTTTTGGCGTGTCTAACCACAACTTAAATTAAAGTGATTTGTGTGTCGAGCTGACAATTTATAGCGATTTTATTACTTTTTGTAATACAATGTAATAATATATAGAGCACAAGAGAAATTAAAATTAAGTCAATTTTGTGATCAATTTATAGAGAAAAGCGCAAACATATAATAAAATTTTATGTCTCGACACAGAGTTGCTTAAACGTACTACATATTATCTACGTTAAGCAATTCAAAGAAATAATTTTAGAAATGTATGATGATCATTAGTTAAGAAATATATAATGTTCACAAGGAGTGAAAAATAAAATAAATACGATCAGTAGTTCATTAAGAATTTAAAAAACAAAATATTTTTTATTAATTTTTTAACTTGACCAGTTCAGTTGATTTTTTACCTTGACCAGTTCAGTTGATTTTTTACCTTGACCAGGGCAGTTGATCTTCTCCCGTCTGTTTCGCATATATTCCAACGCATGCTGATGCGGCCTATCTCGCTAAGCCAGGAAAGAACCTGTTGGTGAATTGATAGACTCGAACTTCGCACTTTTTACAATATTCGAGACCTTTCATGTGTTCATTGAGATTCGTATGGAGTGTTCCTTTACTATCGGGGGGATTTGAGGGGTTTAAAATGCTCGTTCACATCCGGCTCGAAGGACCACAAAATGTGGCAATAAGTACGTAAAAGAAAATAGCAAATGGACTGACTTTAAGGGCAATGACTGTACTTACTGGACACACTTTTCTTAGCTCGTTGTTTATCAGCCTATGGAGTGGAAGAAGTGGAGGGTTAATTAAATCAATAGTCTTCACAAAACTAACACTTGTATTGTTTTTTAAACAATGATTATGCTGCCAACACCTGGCGTTAACGTAATAACACAAATTATCAGAGAAATATACCAAGGGGGGCACATTTAATATTATTCAACCCTTGTATACTCGCTTGCCGTGTAGTTTTATAAACCTTACATCCTCTACACAATGGCGGCACTTCACATAACATAAACGATTTTGGTTTACAAACCACGCTAGAGAGCCTGAGTCACTGTCCAACACCAATCCGCTCGTTCATAGCACAAAAACAAGTTTCCTGGATGTGAATTGTGTATTAATCATAACATCAGGGCTTCACGGTCCTCCCGCACCTGAAACTGGCTTAATTCGTACGGCCTAAACCTAATTAAAGTGAAAACCACTCACACCACCGCTTCAGACGTCTACTAGCCCTTTTCGGCATTCTCACAAACATGGTCGCTGCTTGCGCGCAGCGATCTTGCTCAACTCTGCCTTCCGGACGTTATGTTTTATGAAAGGAAATGACACGCTCATTTCCGGGCTGCAAATTTCAAATTGTGTTTCGCGCTAATTTTTTAGAATGTTTAAAATAAATAATTTTATTTCTTGTTCAGAAAAGATTGATTTCTGAACAATTAGTATTAAGTAATAACATGGGAAATTTGAAATTAAGATGTCTTAAAAAGAATATTTGACAAGTATCTACCGTTGCAGTCGATGCATTGTTGTAGCCGATTTCTGAAGCTGATGTGGACTCTTTCGAGCATTGCGACCGGTATATTGGCTATCTCGTGACGAATATTGTTTTTCAATTCTTCCACAGTTGCAGGACAGTTGTTAAAGACTTTAGATTTAAGGTAGCCCCATAGAAAAAAATCACATGGGGCTAAATCTGGTGAGCGTGTGGGCCACGGTATGTCACCCCTGTTGGAGATGAGTCGAACTGGAAAATTTTCTCGTAAAACAGCCATCGAAATTAGGGATGTGTGGGCCGTGGCCCCATCTTGCTGAAACCATACTTCGCCTATAGCTATATTTTCAAGAGCTGGCAGAAAGAAGTTATTAATCATTGCCACATAACGCTCAGAATTTACCGAAACCGTGCGATTGCCTTCCTCAAAAAAATATGGCCCAATGATTCCTAAGGTTGATATCGCAGCCCAAACTGTGACCCGATCCGCATAAAGAGGCCTCTGATGAACTTCCCTAGGATTGATAACGCTCCAATAACGCATATTTTGTTTATTAACACAACCTGAGATGTGGAAGTATGCCTCATCACTAAAAAACAACTGCTTCAGGGGACAAATTATCAAGGAGCGTTTCGCATGCCCTTTGTCGTGAAACAAAATGACGTTCGAAAAGTTCTTGTGCGACTACCATTTTGTAGGGCTGAAAGTGAAGGTCTTCATGAAGAATTCGGCGAGTTGAACGATCCGACAACCGCAGGGCAGCCGCATGTTTTGAATCAGAGCGCCTAGGAGATCGCAAAACCGACTCTCGGACTGCCTCGATGTTTGCGGGTGTTCTAACGGACCGTGTTGCTCCTGGTTTCCTGCGGCACACATTTCCAACTGTTCTAAAAGCCTCCACCCAGGATAAGATGGATCCCTGGACAGAAACAGCTCCTCGAGGGGGAATATTGTACCGTAAACGACTGACGAATGGTTCGAACGGTTAAGAAATAATAAATCTCCCCACCAACGTTCTTCTTTAAGAGCACTACCGCGCCTCAATCATCTCCAATAGCGTCCTCACGTCTCATTGAAAAAAGAAAGTTTCAGTGCCGGACCCTGTATTTCGATTCCGGAAAATATTAACGATCTCTTTTTTTGGCATTCTGCCGACAAAGTTATAAATAGATTTTCGAATCTCAATTTTGTACGCCATTATGCCTACAGACAGATAGCAACTGGGCTGTCAACCAAGTAAACAAAACCCAGGGCAACGTTTATTACCATTTCTAACTAGATAAATTTGATTTAATACTCCGCAGAGCACAGACAAACTTTTTCCCAAAACTTTTGGAACACCAGTTAACTTGTGCCTTTTCTTAAATCCCATAAACCAGTCCGTACCAGGTATTCCATATTTTAAAGGAGTTTCTATCTGATTTTCATTAACGAAACGAGAAACCATTTTTAGAACCTCTTTTAGATAATCTAAAACCCTTTTTTCAAGAGTAGCCAGGCATCTAGTTAAATCTTCTTCTTTTTCTTTACCTAAAGCAGTTAGGCGTCTCTTATTTTTCTTTTTTACTCGACACTCCTGCACAGCTATTTGGACTTCAACTTCAGAATATTTTGGGTCTTCACTTTTTCGTTTATAGCAGCGCACCATTTCATAACCCGAAAAAAAGAGGGGCAAATGTAATAGTTCTGTAAAAGGCGAGGAGCAATTGTGATATTACATTTACTCCATGTATTATTTTAAATGGTTTAAATGTAATATAAGAACAAAAGTATTGTGAATACATTAATTTTAACAAAACATATAGTAACAGGGTTGTTTTTTAGCTCTGCAAACAATACTTCAATAAACTTATCTTGTAAGGACATGAGTTATTACAATTCTTGTACATGTTTGTTTAATTGGTTTAGGGACCTCACGTGTTATGTTCGAGCACTTGTCGGCTAATGATGCGTACTATCACATTTACCCCACTCCACCTTACAGTTTTTTGAATAACACAGTTCGGATTTTTCTACATACACAACCATAACTTCAAATTTTATTTGATAAAATTTTTCCAAAAATATTTTTGGACTGCATCTTCCTATAGGGGATGATGGTGGAAAGATTTTTATACAGAAACGTTTCAAATCAGGTCTATTGTAAATGTGCCAAAAATTAGATTTTTATCTCATTTGTTACTATTTTTAAATGCCAGAACCCACATCCGAACCATGATGGTTCAGTTGGAAAAAATATTCAGTCAAAGTATTTTTGGAAAAATTTTATCAAAAAAAAATTAAAATTTTGTTTGTGAATTTAGAAAAAATCATAGATTCCAACTGTTTCATTGAAAACAATGTAACTTTATTTTTTGAGAGTTATACCCCCTCCATATTAGTTAAAGTTTGGGGTAGGAGAAATTTTTTATACGATTTTTATAATTTTGGGATAATACATTAATGTACCAAGTTTGGTCTCAATATCTCGACCCGAATTGCCCTAGCTCCAAGAGCCTCACCCCAACCAACAATCCTTACAGAAAATAACCACATGCAAAAAGTCATTACCGAAACAGGCCTGTCCATCAATTAAACATGATTTGCTACCCAACTATTTGTAAAACTACGCAGTTTTTTCCTGTAAAATTTGGTTTTGTGGACATGTTTTGTTCTGCAGTTATAAGTAATAAAATAAAAATTTTAGGTATCTCTGGTGTTGGAAACCGAGAAGAATTGGGATATTTTTGGCATAATGCGACTGCTGATAACCTAAACCAATTTCCAAAACAAGATATTTTGACCCACGAGCGGGTTCTGGATTTGTGGTCACAATTTATTAAATATTTGTAAGTAGTATTAACATAAAACAACTTATTCAATTAGTTGATAGATTTTATATTAAATTTTTGTAAATATTTTTCAAATTTAAAATGGCTGGTGTGTCTCATTTTAGACTGCACAACCACAGTATCTTGTTTATATATTATCGATTTAACAAAATTCTTTGACCTGATTATACCCCTTCGAAATTGTACTTTTATGACATATTACTTTCCCTTCACGGTGAACAGCTAGTCGTATTAGGAAATGTACTCTTTTCTGTTTTACAATAATTATTATGTACACTTCTAATATTATTTGTTTTAATAGCTGTACATTTTTGAGTGACTCAATTACCAGTATTTTTTTTAATTAAAATTTGATTAAATAATTGTTTCTTTTTAGGAATCCTACTGCCTATAACTCTAAAGTATTAGGAAACTTTATATGGCCTAAAGTTGCCGAGGAAAACTTTTTATACTTGGATATTAATTCAGAATTAACAATAAAGAGAGGACCAAAGAAGTTTACTGACTGGAATAGAATTTATTCAAAATATACAACAGAAAAGTTGGATACCTATTAAATGTAATTATGTGCCTATAAAATTAATAAAAACATTATGATAAATTAAAAATTATTATTTTTATCACGTAGTGAAAAAGTATGAAATATAATATTATAAAAAGATTCAGAACGACTACTTAACAAAAGACAAAAAAATAAGTTTGATTTTTTACCTATACCACAAAATCAGATAACAGATGGTATTCCAACGAGTCTAAAATGTGTGCAGAAATTTGGTCTAGGAGATGGAGTAAAGGAATATAATAAGAGAAGCAATATTTATGTTAAAAAATGTACCTATATTGCCCTCACTCTCTCACATTGATTCCGAGGCCCGAATTGAATAAGTTCTCATCCTGTGTATACTGGATCAGAACCTGTATGACCCATTCCTTCCACCCCCCTGCTTTAAGCATGACATCGCTGCAGAGACCTCAGTGGCAAAAATATAATTATTATTTATACAGAGTGTGGTATAAGACTTTATACTCTGTCGTGTCGTCGCGTTGTTGTGTGATTTAGGCGTCCCCGATTTCCCCAAGTGGCAATTGCGGTGGCAGCTCATCAGCAGGCGGGTTGTCGTTTGTGTGAACAGTCTTATGTCTGTTTGTCGTGTTTGTTATCTGAAATATTACCTCTGAAAAACAAAATTATCTGAAAAATAAATATTTATTGAACAGTAATTTTAGAAAAATAAAATTTATGACCGATAAAAATGTAGGGGAGAGCGCCCAACAATGGCCACCTTTTTTTTGTTTTCCAGATTATTGCATATGATAATTTAAATTACATAATATTTTTAAGTTACATACTTTGTCATGCCATAAAAAGAAGTATTGTATAGTTTTGGAATCTAAAAAATGTATATTTTTTTTGTTATTAATTTTTTTACAAAAGATGTTAAGGTGGCCACAGTTCGCGCCTAGGTGCGTACAGTGGTCACCACGAGTTCTTACAGTGGCCATGAACTAAGAATGTTACAATTTTGTATAATATTTTGTCAGAAATAAGCACAAACAGTATTAGAAGGCATATTTATTATATTTATTGAAAATTAATATTTAATACAAACTAAAGGATGATAAATCTATTGAAAAATAATAAAGGCTTTGAGTCCTTGCAGTTCCCCCTGAAGTGATTGGCGTTGGGAGATGCATGACTATCTCAGTAACGTGAACAATAGATTCGTCTCTGACGTCTGGATACGAAAATTTGTTTTCTTTACGCTTTCTCAGAAAATTGACAAGGAGTTCTTCATTTTTTAGAGATTCGGTTACCTTTCCTATGCAATATTTCAGTTGCTTCTTAGTTGCAAATCTAACAAGCACAAAACTATCAACGGTAATTTCTTCTATCTTTTTTTCGTTTTCATATTCAGGCAGGTTCATCCAATCTGCTTCATCGGAATCAGTTAAAACTAAGCTTTCGTCACTTTCATCACCCGAGCTGCTGCTGATGTTTAGGATTGGTTTATTATTGGATTTTTTTAAATCTGAATCTTTGTTCTGTTCTTCAGTGTCCTCTAAACCAATTTTTCTTTTTATTCCTACTGTTTTGTTAAGACTGTTTTGTCTGGCTTTCTTTTGAGTTTGTTCTTCCTTAATTTCTTTGTAGACCGGTGTGCTTGTCAAAATTTGGGTGTTTTCTTTTTCCGTTTCTGTTTGTTTTCTGACACCTTTGTTGATTTTGGGTATGGTTTTATAATTTCAGGACCAATAAATTGCTTTGGGGGTGTTTTTTCCTCATTGCACTTGCTAGTAGATGGCTGTGGCTCTTGAATCAAGGAATTGTTGGTCAGGAGCGGAGGGTCTTGAGTCAAGTCATTAAGAATATATCCGTTACGGTTGACGCTATAAAATCATTATCAACAAATATATTTTCATCAAAGGGAAATATTCCTGTTGATTTGAATGCAGATACGCAATTCTTAGAAGAAAATGCAATATTATATATCTGTCCTAAAATTTCTGCAACGTCATATATTGTAATGCGCTGCCCTGGATGATTTGTAAGCCAGGTTTTACATGCATTATTATAATGTGTTTTTAACGGACCATAAACGGTTCTATCCAGGGGCTGGAGCTTATGACTCGTGTGTGGGGGAAGTGTTAGTAAAACCACATTACTTTGTTTAGCCAGTTCTATTGCCTCCAAAGAAATATGGCTATTATGGTTGTCCATAATTAGGAGGATTGGACAATTTTCAGTTGGATGAGTGTAAGAAATAAAGTGTCTGAGCCATTGCAAAAATATTTCTGAGGTAATCCAACCTGAAGGTGACGCTGCTCCAATACATCCATTTGGGCCCCCTTTGAGCATGTGCTCTTTAAAATATTTCCTTGGGAAAATTAATAAAGGAGGAACCGAGTTGCCATCTGCATTAATGGCCCCACATAAAGTAATCAATGTGCCCCTTTCCGCTGACGTTATTTGACCTACTTGCCTTTGACCTTTCATGGCCACTACTTTTCCAGAATCTTGAACTGTCGTAAGCGCAGTTTCGTCCATGTTATAAATGTTGCCTGATCGAAATGTGTATTTATTTAATACCTGCTTTAAATTTTCAAAAATTTTTCCTACAACAACCTTATTGAATCCCATAGCCCGTCCTAGTGAGGTCGACTCCGCAGTCCTAATTGAGAGAGGGTTTCTTCTTAAGAAACGGGTTAACCATCTTTTTCCAGCCATTTTATTTTCAGCCCACGAAGAAGGACATTGCTTATTATTAGCAACTGCCAATTCGTAAGCCAATGATCGAACATTTTATGGAGTAAGGCCGTGGTGCAGTTGTGCAGAAACCTGCAAATAATTGCACAACTGCTGTTCTTCTTCCAATGAAAATATTTTTCTAACAGTATAATTTGGTGTTAAACCAGTAGCTATGTTTTCCACTTCGACATTCTTAAATTTTGCAACATATCTTCTTAAAGTGGTTCTAGGTATAGAATGGCGCATTGAAGCAGCCTTAACTGATAAACCATTATTTTTTATATCATCAAGCGCCTTTTTCATCGACTGTGCTGCGGTTTTTCCAATACCAATTGTCTTTGGCTTTGGACGAGGCATTTTTCTGAAATAGAAAAATAGCCATTGATATTTTTTTTATTTATTCAGACGTGACCAACAGTGGCCACCAAAAAAAGCAGTGGCCACTGTATGTCACTTAAGGCATGGCCACTGTAGGAAATTTACCTTTATAAAAACAAAATATAACCTCGGAAAAATCGTGCATAAATACGATGGTATGTATCGTTGAATCTCATCCCAAATAGTATATTTAAAAGCAGGATATAAAAATATATTTAAAACTTACCAAGGTAACAATAGATAACAATCAAAATGTATCACAAAAAAA